GCACTTGCCAGCTTTGACTGAATCAGTGTGAGGATGAAATACCTATTCATCTTCATTGTTGACTACATAAATATCAACATACTGTTTTAAGTAATGTGTTCCGGGGGAGGAAAAGTCTGAGACGGGGAATCCGAGTCCACGAAAGTCCCCGTTGAGACTGATACCTATATGAAGGTTAATGCCTCGTTCCCCGCAATACACTAGTTCTATCGATCAGGTGAATTGTAATGATATTATTGACAATAAGACATCCGCAGAGCAAATGCTCACAGCTCTATCATCATATTATACCACTTCTTGAGGAGGTGAACGGTGATGAAATTCACTTCTTTAGGTTCCGATAAACGGCAGACGATATTCAAAATCAGAAGGGAAACGAAAATTAGAAATACCTCTTCTCGTAATCAATATATTACCTAAATTTTAAGAGGCAATATATTACGATATCTTTTTAACCTTATTTCACTTCAGCGAGCAACTCTAATTGATGATCATAAGAAAGTCCATGTGAAAACGAGGATATAAGCACGATCAAGAGCTGCTCACTTAGCTTTATCCAACCTACATATTTACTCGCCTTTTTTAGCTTCATGCACCTAAGCTTGAGCGTAGACCCTCGGAGCTGATAAGTTCGAAAAGTAATCGTAAGGTGGGTGAAGTGGTGACTTTAAAACGCTGATGGAAGTGACGTGAGTGCACAGATTCTGTTCATCTTAATTGCAGCGCGAAAGAGAATAAAAACGAATGGGATTGGACTGATGAAGGGCGAATCAATATTCAGAAAGTGGGCTATGCAGATGATGAAAAGAAAAGGAACAGGTATCATGAAAGCAGAACTGACCATCTGGCCTTGGCGATGGATACGAAGGCTGCACGCACAAGAAGGAAAATGGTTGCAGTAATAATAACAGAAGCTTCTGTTTTGAGGCGCACACTGTATTCAGAGAGAGTGATTTGATTATTGCTTGGAAGTGTGTGAAAAAAAAACGGAAAAGAACTAACCAAGCAGGAGAAGTTTAAGCTCGCGTCGTGCATTTCGTTTATCACGTTGAAGCTGCTTCTCAATTTCCTGATTGATACGTTTCTGCTCACGTGCCTCCTCACTTAGGCAACAGGCCATGGGGGCCGTCTTCGACGCCCGTTCAACTTTGATATGATGCCCCCTTGCAATCACTGATCACTGAACTGAAATCGTGATTCGGTGCCGATCAAGCAATTATCAATCGATCAATCCACCAATCCACTCACTTTCGATTCGATCTCGCAGCAACACAACAACCGAATAATGCCAACAGCAACTCACAGTTCTTATTCATACAGCTTGAAACGCTCGCTTGCACGCGTTTAGCTGTATTTTTTTACAACTGATATTGATTATTTGATACTTGTTCAAATTTGGCTGATGTTCTTGTTATATTCCAGTAATGTTAAATATATAGACAGGTAATAGCTGATCTATTAATATTAATATTGATTGATCTAAATGATCAGCAGTATTCAGTTGAAGAAGTGCAGCTGATCCACAGTTGTTCCAAGAATAATAATAACGTTAATGTGATAGCACCTCGATGATTACGAAGATGCAATGATAATAATTGTTGTTCTTATACGAACGTTTACTAATCGAACAAACTAATGATGGAGGCTGAATGAAGCGCATAAATAAGAATATTGATAAATAATTGAGGTACTGAAACCTCTTGAATTGATTCGACGATAGTAACTGAATAAGCAATGGTCGTTATTACAGTTATAATAAGCAATAACTGTTCCACGAGTTTTTACCATGCACACCACAATCGCACAATTTGATTAACTGGACGTGTCTATTAGCAAGACGCTGAAATTTGATAGAACATTATGAAACTATTATTGATATTGACACATCATTTGGTTTCGAGTGAAACTTTCCCGCAAGTGCAACTCGAACACACTCGGTAAGAATTCCCAGTCGGATGCTTTATAAACTGATCTATTCCAATCACTTAAATTTGTGAAAAAACAAGTGATGTCGACAATCGATAAAATATTTCACACCTTTTAATTGATTTCAACATAAAACAAGCTATCTGAATCAACCTTTGGTCAGTTTAAAGCATTTAATGCCAAAAATCATTGTCA